TCCTGAGATGTCTAACCAACCGGGAAGCTGAGCGAGTCATAGCGGAAGTCCACGAAGGCGTATGCGCGGCGCATCAAATGTCCCGTACGCTTTCCCAGCGCATCATCTTGTTGGGATATTACTGGCCAACAATTGTCCAGGATTGTGAAAGGTACGTCCAGAAATGCAGGACGTGCCAAGTATTCTATAAGTATCCCGGTAGACCGGCGACCTACTACCACCCCGTATCGAATGTCATCCCATTCGCTAGATTCGGGGTTGATATCATTGGAGCCTTCCCAGTCGCCCAAGGAGGGAAGAAGTTTGTAATCGTAGCCATCGATTACTTCACCAAGTGGATCGAGGCCGAAGCATTGGCCAGCATTACCACGCAACAATGCAAGAAATTCATTTGGAAGAACATCATCACAAGGTTTGGAGCGCCCATGAACCTCATCACCGACAACGGCCCACAATTCCGAAATCCAAGATTCACTGAATACTTGGAAGGCTTCGGGATCAAGCACAATCGTTCCTCGGTAGCGTACCCCCAAGGGAATGGCCAAGTCGAAAACGCCAACCGAACGATTGTGGATGGTCTAAAGAAACGGCTGGGAGAAGCAGGAAGCAAGTGGCTGGAAGAGCTCCCACACATCGTATGGGCATTCCGAGTAACACCCAGGAGGGCTCACGGGGAAACTCCATTCTCCCTAACCTATGGATGTGAAGCAAGGCTGCCCATCGAAGCTGAATTCCCCACGTTTCGGGAGTCAAACTATCAACCCCAGCAGAATGAGGAAAATCACTTGGCCGAACTCAACTTGGTCGAAGAGCGGAGAATGGCCGCGGAAGTCAAAATGAGCACATACCAACAAGTTGTGAAGAAGTACCATGATAACAAGGTCGGGCCGCGGTACTTCCAAGTTGGGGATAAAGTCCTACCGGTCAATTTGCGTGTTTTTACCTTTCTTACTTTGCCAAATCAAGCGAACTATTCTAGACCCGGTCTAGTATAGTTTGACCGGTCAAGTAATTTACACCATCACATACAAACAAAAAAATTAGCTTAAAAATAAGTAACTAAGACCAACTTATTTTTTTGGATTATAAATAGTTTATAAGCACATAGAAACATGTTATCAACTGACTTATAAGTTAAAAACTGCTTATAAACACTCTTGACCATCTTATAAGCATCGAGAAACACATATGATGTCTTGGTAGTTGGTACTAACTTTATTCCACCTACTACTAACTCTAATACAAATTGAGTTGTACGTAGCTGGTTTAGTAGACATTAATTTAAAGAAAATAAATATGGAATATTTAGAAGGAAATGCCAATATTGAATTCTTTTTGAGGTCATTTTCATTGTATATTCTGTTCCAAATGTGTTGACACTTTTCATTTTTGAGATTTCTAAAAATTAACTTCACACTTGACTTACATATTTAGGAAACAAGTATGTGGATATAGGGCAAGGTTCAAGTGACATTGCCCGATAATGTCATTGGATGACCCGGGGGCGCTCCGGTGCCCCGTTCATAAAATTGACGGTTCCTACCCCTCGGTAAACCTCTCACCCAGTCCCGACCTGAACACCCCCCCCCACGCCCTTCAATTGCACCCCACAAGTTGATTGAAGGGGGTGGGGGGTGTGTTCAGGTCGGGGCCGGGTGGGGGGTTTACCGGGGTCAATTTTACGAACGGGATACCGGAGCGCTCCCGGATCATCCCATGACATTGCCGGGCAATGTCACTTGAACCGTGGAGGTGGATAAAATTCATTTTATTACTTTCAAATACATGACAACCACATAGTTTTCTCCTTTTTATCCATCGTAGACAAAAGATTCGAACTAATACTCATACAGTCATACCGTCATACGATCCTACTTTTGCCAATAGATGTTACTAATGCAATCTCTTGAAAAAAATCATTTTTATGTCGACTTACAAAAAATCTCTTATTCTTAAGGCTTTTTTGAAGAAACAAAAATATTGGTCTACTCACATTTTTTATGGGCTAAAGAATAAGTTTTTTTTAATACAAAAAGTCGAACGGTGTTTTTAAATCTGAAACATAATTAAATAAAAAAGAACGTTACACGGTGGGGAGAGGTTGAAAGTAAAATTCAAATGAAAAAGAGTACTTGACGTGATAACAATCACATTTTTTTAAGGGACAAGGGGGTACTTTTAATTTCTAATACGCCTACTTTAAAAAACCATAGAGGGTGTAATAAACACAAACTTGGAATTACCTCTGGCCAAACCAAACCAGAGGCTAAAAAGCCAACCTGATTTAGTTTCAAATGAAAAAGACAACCTGATTTAGTTATTGAAGAATGGAATAATTGTATGCATCAAACAAAGAAGAGATGCTTGAGAGAGAATATATAGAGGGGGAACAGTGGAACACAACCAACAAGAATAGAAACTAAACTAATTTGTCGTTGACAATCTCTGAAATAGACACTGAATTTCATTCTATGTTTCCGGACACCATTTCCTACATAAAAGATGGGTTAATTAATTTGACGGTGAAAATTGCACGTGGTTGTAAAACAATCGACTAAGTTGCTGCTTGATATGGCATTTCAGGCGTAATCTCTACATGTAATTAGTTACCTTAATTGTATTTATTTTTATTCACATCTATGAATATTATTGTTTGATCTCATTTAACCACACAAACTTATATCCTTTTGTGCAGGTTAGAATATCTATTGCCAATATATCCTTATGATTTTGACCTATGAGAAGGTGTTAACATTTTTTTATGCTTCTCAACCTACTACTCTGTTGATTTCTGACAGTTTTTATTTGTTATCAAATTGCTCTTTTACTCATTGAGTGCAGGAGCAGGGCTATTAGAGGAGTTGTAAATGTGTCACACTACTTTTGTCAAATGTAAGGATGATCATGGGAGCCTTCTCTAGTTTGTTTGGATAGACTATTTGTATGTATGCTTTTGTTTAGGAGTTGCACAAAACTTTTGGGAGTTTTTAAAACTTATCTATCTGCTAGCAGTATTTTGGTATTATCAAATCATTATTGCTATTTTATTGATGCTATATCCAGAATTGATGTTATTACAAATCATTGTTGCTGTTTTATTGATGCTATCTAGAATTGATAATACCTAAATACTGCTAGCAGATAGATATGTTTAAGAAAACTACCAAAAATTTTGTGCAACTCCTAAACAAAAGCATATAGTCTGTCCAAACAAGCATAGAGAAGGCTTTGATCATCCTCACATTTGACAAAAGCAGTGTAACACATTTACAAATCCTCTAATAGCCCTGCTCCTGCACTCATTGAGTATAAGAGTAATTTGATAACAAATGAAAACTGTCAGAAATCAACAAGAAGCATAAAAAAAGATGTTAACACCTTCTCATAAGTCAAAATAATAAGGATATATTGGCAATAAATATTCTAACCTGCACAAAAGGATATAAGTTTGTGTGGTTAAATGAGATCAAACAATAATATTCATGAATGTGAATAAAAATATATACAATTGAGGTAACTAATTACATGTAGAGATTACGCCCGAAATGCCATATCAAGTAGCAACTTAGTCGATTGTTTTACAGCCACGTGCAATTTTCACCGTCGAACTAATTAACCCATCTCTTATGTAGGAAATGGTGTTCGGAAACATAAAATGAAATTCAGTGTCTATTTCAGAGCTTGTCAATGACAAATTAGTTGCAAAAATATTAGTATTAGTATACTCCATATAACACAACATTCAGTAATATGCCACAAGGATAGAGTCGAACGATAAATTTATCACTATTTTTGTGCCATATGCGTTAGGATGAGAAATATTGAGCGGATTTTTCATGATGTTACGATATAACCTAAAATTTGACCACACTACATTCTGGTATCTAGTACTTGGTGTCTTCGCGTGAGGTACTTGCCCCTTGTGAGTGTGGAAGAAGCACCGAGCGTCGATACAGACACAAATGACGCATTCGGATCCCTATCAAATGTCTCTTGAAAGGCTCTCATTTGCACATCGATCCACCTGAGTGTACCGTGATTATCCCTTTTGATTGTTCCTTCTATATCGGGATATTGCTCGAAAATCTGATGAATTTTCCGATGAATAACACATTTTAAGCAACCTCCCAAAAAATGGGATAAAAAATTGTTGTTCTTAGGATAGGTTCCATGATGAAGTCCGAAAATGATTTACATGGTACACCCTTATACCTCAGAAATGAGATAAAAATTGAAATTTAGTGTGTGTCAGTAAAAAAAGAACACAACTTAACAAAAGAACCTAAGAAATTTCCTAAAACTAAGAAATACTAACCGCGAAAAATCTCTATTGAGATACAAATGGAGTTTTGAATTGTACAGTTCACTCACACTTCATGGATCATCCATGCCTAATACTGATTTCACTAGACTCCTAAGTTTATTAAGGTCCATCATGAAGCCACTGATAAAATCCAAATCATACATGAAATGACAAGCCACTAAGCAAATGAACTAATAAAAAATACTCTGTAATTAATAACAAATTAACATTGATAATAAACTAACTAACAACTACAAAAAAAAACAGAATTTATTAACTTACAACTGAGTAAGATGTCTCTGGAAGCCAAGAGAATTTCTGCAAGCATTTCCAGTAAGAGAGTTAAAGAGCCCATTAAGTTGAATCACATACAAGGCGTCATCTGCTACTGAAATTAGAAAGCAACCACAGAGAGCCCTAAAGGAAAAGAATGATCTTTTTGCCATAGATCTTTCAATGAAATCAAAGTCTTCGTCCAAGTGAACTGGAGAGCACATATGCGTTTTGAGGTCATGACAATCAACTACGGTTGGGAAACCACCATCAACATATAAGCAATGAGCAATTAATGCATGACGAAGAATCATGTCATCGCAAGTTTGAATGAGTAAGATGTTGCATTCACATTGATTGATATAGTGGCACATCAATATCGCCCCCTCACCAAATAAAATAAGCTTTCCATTTGCATCCAAAACATCCCCCAAGATATGAGTGGGCAGTGCATATCTACTGGAATCATACTTCACCTTCACATACTTCCATTTCTTTTGTTTCTCATCATAAACCTCTGCCCAATTAAGGTAGCTATTCTTATGATCATAATCATCCTCTGGTTCCCCACCATATCCTAAGGTATAAAGCGAGCCCCCAGCCACGACAAGGTGAGGGCCAGACCTGGGTGTGAGGAAAGTACTGCTCTGCTATCCAGCCCCTGTATTATGTGTGTCTATGCTGAATGTATACCCATCTAGAAGCTGCAGTTTCAGGGCTGAGTGTACGACCCTTCGGCCACCAACCACCGGCAACAAATAAGCGGGTGTCTAGAACTGCTGTCATGAAGTCTTTAACTGGATCAAGCATTTCCAACAGTGGAAGCGCGTCTTTCACAACTTCAAGAGTGAAGTCATCTTTTATATTAAGCACATGGCAATTGCAATGCATTCTACGAGTGATCCGATCCCAGCCTACTAAGTCAAAGATGTAAAGTGTGGCACTGTCGATATTTCCTGCCAGATTGGAGCTGGATGGAGCAATTTGTCCCAATGTCTCCTTGATTGGTGACTCCTAAATCAATAAAGAAAGACCTACAGAACTTAGGGTTTTATCAATAAATCAAATGATGAGAAACTCTTTATATAGGAGAAGATATCTGCTTTGCAAGCAATGAAACATATCCAAACCAATGATTTTCTCATTGCCATTTCATATAACCACAAAATAAGTCAGGGCATAAAGGACGATATAACTCGACATATCGCACGAGGATGCGAATAACAAATGCACAACTTACTTTTACATCAGGATCAGAGTATTCTTCATCGGAGTCCCCAAAGGCTTCCTCGTCTGTTTCTACTGTACTCGCGCATCGGTGCGGGCATTTTTAGAATCGTTAGGCGGGGAGCCCGAGACTGCAGCAGAATGAACTTTGTTTAGGTAAATCCTCGTGGCAAATAATGCAGCTGCCCAAGCTATCCCTATTGAATAAATGTCGAGCATCTTTTCTCTTAATCGTTTGCACAACTGTGTAAAGAGAGATCATTTAAGATAATGAACGGTGATTCAAAATCCACATATATCGGGAAGGAATCTTTTTAGAAACAATCATATAGAAACAATCAACACAAACTCAAATTTTCATGACTTCAAGATTGGCAAGCATTGCGTTTAATCAATTTTGAGTCAATTTAACAAACAACAATATAAATCATCTCTACATACAAAAGAACCTTGGTTTGTTTTCCCACGCAAAGTCAAGTCCGTCTCTGTAAACACACGCTGTGAATTATTTATGGGTAGGATATGTCTAGACTTCATTCAATTCCAACCACAGAATCCTTATCCACACTCACAAGCTTCCCAAAAAAAAAACTATAGGTACGAGACTTTGATTTTCGATTCACCTCTTTAAATGTCAGGTAAGTCGTTTACTCTGAAATCAGGTTGTTTCTTTGTTTAATTCTGTTTGTTTGGTGTAATAACTGAGCACATTTCGTGTTGGGATATCATGGACTGTGCGCCCATCTCCAAACAACCAGCCTTTGACCACCTTTTCCTTAAAGACCACAAGATCCAGGTTTGAAAATTGTTCATCTAAACATGCAGTAATGCACAAGATGTTTAGTTATTTACACTTGAGCGAGGATGGGTAAAACATAAAAATAGACATGAAAAAGAATGGTTATTCCAAGTTCTTAAGAGCTCGAATGGGCCCATTGGCATGCTTAAGTTTGACGGGTTTGCTAGAGGGTTGATGTTTGACATTACCAGTAAAAGCAATTCAAGTTTGGTTAGCTTCAAATCGTTGAATATAGTATGATGATTTTATTAATTGGGGTTCAGTTACAACACTAAAGCAAAGAAATTGGAAAGAATTAATAAGTGACAACAATCATTATAATGGGAGACTGAGTTGTTGAAGCAGTTGAGGGGGTTGGGCTTGCGGGAAAGATAAGATATCTCTATTGGAGGTGGTGCTAACATAAAGCGACTTGAAGAGAAAAATGCTTCTACGTGTTCTTGCACTTGATGATATTTGACAGTATTTCATTTTTGTCCCTTCCTTCTATGAACTATTCAAATATTAAAATTACAAAATGAGTCCAATTTAATAACTCCAATTTCACAATTTCTCTTTGAATCTTCTTAACATGAGCTATTCAAATATACATAGAATTACAAAAAAAACTACATAAGTGTTGCGAATTCAGATTGAACAAACAAATTCCAATTTATATTCTCAAGTACAGGCTGAAAAGCAACATCAAGGCTTAAATATGAAAACATCTCACAAACAGAAGGTTAATAAACACAGGGTAGATGAGGGCTAGGGAGAGAGCGAAGAATCGGAATGTTTACTAATGAAATAAAACATTTTAAATTAGCAAAGATTTCAAATTATTTATTAACAACTAACCCTAGATTTTAAAGCCAAAAAATACAAAATTGGCGACAATGAATACGAAATACCTGGAGGGTGCGGTGGCTTCTGGCGGGAGAAAAATTCCAGTGGCGTCTCCCCACGATTCTGCCAATTGTAATCTAAGAAGAATTATGGAAGGGGCTGAGTAACCAGAAGTATAAGTAAGTATTGGGCTTTGAGTTATTCCGTTGGATGCTACACTTGTTATATAAGGAGTACGGGGCCGGTTAGACAGTTTGGCAAAAGAAATAAGAATAAAATCTAGTTTTAAGATCAAATTATATTTGATCTTAAAATATGAGAATGTGATCTTATGAAAGAAATAAGAATAAATTTGGTGCTTTAGATCTTAAAACTAGATTTTATTCTTATTTCTTTTGCCAAACTGCCTAACCGGCCCCATACTCGGTATTGACGGTATATAACAAGTGTAGCATCCAACGGAATAACTCAAAGCCCAATACTTATACTTCCGGGTTCTCCTTTAGCCCCTTCCATAATTCTTCTTAGATTACAATCGGCAGAATCGTGGGGAGACGCCACTGGAATTTGTCTCTCGCCAAAAGCCACCGCACCCTCCAGGTATTTCGTATTCATTGTCGCCAATTTTGTATGTTTTGGCTTTAAAATCTAGGGTTAATGTGGATAAGGATTCTGTGGTTGGAATTGAATGAAGTCTAGACATATCCTATCCATAAATAATTCACAGCGTGTGTTTATACGATGTTTGAACAGGCTAAGAATCATCAAATAGTAAATCACAATGAAACAGACCTGAGGAAGAACATTGTCCATCTTTATCTTACTCACCTGTTCAGTAATTACACAGGGTAGTGGTGGGGGTTGTTCAAAAGAAGAAGATGCTGACTGTGATTCCTCCATTGCCAAATAAAAGAAATATAAGGCGTGTGGGGGCATGATAAACAGGATTTAATAAAGTGAAATTTGTACTAAATGGAACTAAAACATACGTCATTTTTAACGTAGGACTTGAACTTTTTTATTTCCTAAATAGGAGTTAATAATGTCTAGTGGGAGGAATAATATCCAATAATGATGGCAATTTACTTGAATAATGACTAATTGATAATGATCAAAGGTACTATATTGAGAAATAAAAACATATAGTGGGAAAATCTTAATGTTTTAATCATATATTTCTCTTTAATAAATGAGATAGGGTCATGTATCCTAATGAAAATAAAAACGAATTAAAAACCACTAGCATTAAATTAAAATCAGAATATGCACTAGTAAAAACTGAGTGGATTATATGAGGATTGTGTTTAATTACAAAATCCCATAGATTTAGGAAAATATCAGTGTCTCTCTTTTGTTTTAAATAAGAATAATAAGACTCCGTAATAATCTAAGCTTGGTGTTCTGTGGCAGAGTGTGATGGGGAAACTAGAACACACTTTTTAGGGACAAATAGAGAGAAGAACCTGAAGGTGGGACTCCTGTGTGTCGGACTGATCGGCGATTGGGGGTTAAGTGAGTGTAAATGGTAGCTTCCGATGCAGCGGTTTGACTCTCTAGTTTTTCTTCGTCTCCAGCAGCGGGAATGGACATGGTGTGTGTGCGGCGGCCTTCCTTTTGCTCTTGTGCGATAACGAAATGGGGGAGAGGAGGAGATTGTGGTTGGCGGCTGTGGATTGTTCGATGAAGAAGAAGAAGTGGAGATTGTGAGAGGCCGAGAGTCAAAGACGCTCCAGAGAGCGGGTTTTTCTCCCGCAAGACGCCGCCGTTAGCCCCCAGGTATTCACTCGCTCTTCCCAATTTCGTGATTAATCTTTCATAGTTTCATCCTCTGACTTCAAAATCTAGGGCTATTTATTACTCGTAATTAATAATCTGAAATCTTTTCTAATTGCTACAGGTATTCACTCTTTCTTCTCAATTTCGCGATATCTTTCAATCTTTCACAGTTTCATTCATTCTTTGACTTTAAAATCTAGGGTTATTTATTAATTAATAATCTGAAATCTTTGCTAATTGCTATGAAATACGAATGAATTTATGGTTTTATATGCTCTTTATTTGATATGGACGAATTGATATGAACGGATTACAGATTGAATGAATTGCTATGAATCTATGATTTATAAAATTTGTTTTTTTGGAAATTAAAGTTTGTATTTGATTTTACTTAGTATTAGAATTTATGAATTTGGATTTGGTTGTAGAAATAATTCAATAGCTATGGGTCCTAAACATCTATCCGGCAGTAAAAAAACATAAAAAGAGAATTTGTAGTTATAGTACTATGATTTTGTCATTTACTTACTTTCGTATAATTCTATTTGATTAATTGTCATTTAAATATAGTTAGTTTATGTATTTTAGTTTGTTAGACCATTAGGGATAAGACTTTTTGGGAATGACAGTTTGTGATTGATTTTATCATGGGCTTGCCAAATCTGTGTGTTGGCTTGAATGAGTCATTTTGAAATGTAATTCTCTGCAGTGGTTGCAGCTGGTCTTTGTTGAATGTGTGATTGATTGTGAAGTGTGAACGACAATTTATGTTAAATAGGTCATGAATATTTTTGTTACTAAAGTATGAAATTTTATGCATGAATGAAAAAAAATGTCCTTATAAACTACGAAGTATTTAGTTCATTTCACAGACAATCCAAACCATAGTTTGTAAGGCGGCAAGGCGAGGTGAGGCGCCAATGTACCTTCATATCGCCTAGGCGACTAGGCGCACACCTAGGCGACGACTAGGCGACATACATACCTATATATATACATACATACCTATATATACATATATATATATATATATATATGTATATTATATATAGGTCTTATACATTTTAAGGAAGCTTGACAGAGAAGACCGAGAGAGAGAAGATAAGTTTAAATCTATTAGGCTACACTAAAAGAAAAAGAGCTGCACTAAAAAATGTGTTTTTTCAAAATTTTAAAGGGGCCCAAGGCATCAAGGCGAGGTAAGGTGAGGTAAGGCGACGCCTAGGCGAGCGCCTGGTCGCTTTAAGGTTTTCTAGGCGAGGCGAGCAGACAAAGCGTACCAGTGACAGCGCCTTATCGCCTAGGCGACGCCTTACAAACTATGATCCAAACACCAAGTATCAAATCAATCATGCTATTTTCTTATCTATCCCAAACATTATTATTCTACATAGAGCATGTCAAGAATGGGCTATCCTCAGTTCCCGAGACACTGTAGGATTGTGGTTGACAAAGATGCCAAAGAAGTATTGCTTAAATCAATAAAATTCCCCTGGCCTCTGACCCTAAGCGACTACCTGTTCAATGTTCGTAAGATAATTCATAACATTTACATTGCTATGTAAGTCTTCTAGTTTTTGCACCTAAAGATTTGAATTACCGGTTAATATTTCCCTCTTGTTTTGAAACTGTTTGTTTTTCTAATAAATCCACATTTCGTTTCTACAGCATCATATTTGGATGATCTGGCTATGTGTATGTGTTCCATGGTGTGTTGTTGAGACATTATTAATTCGGTTCGCTACAAGCTGCTGGAATCGTAAGTTAGTTATTGTTCTTCTGGTATGAGCCGGGCATGTGTTTAGATGCCTCCTTTCTCGGGAAAATGGTCGCCCATGGCTGGTTCGGACTGGGTGACCATTTGTTAATGGATAGTTTGACCAGAAACAATTTCCAGAGCTGTAGCTGATCAATTAGAAGGCGATGAGGATGAGCATGCGAAATATCGGAGTATGGTTGTGAAATACATCAGGGTAAACATCTTGAGATTGTTTTGATTTTCTTTTTTTCTTTTCAAATTCCAAGAATCATTTTCTTTGAATTTATAGCATTTGCCATTAAGATATTTTGCTAGCCTTCTCATGGATTCTAATTGAACTGTGATGATTTCCGGGGCTATATACTTCACAGAGGAATCGTGAGACATTTGAGCCCTTTATTGAAGACGACATTCCGTTTGTTGAGTATTGTGAATCCATGGAAAAGGATGGGACTTGGGCAGGCCACATGGAACTACCAGCTGCTTCTCTTGTTACTAACAGTAACATATGCATTCACCAAGTAATTCACTGCCCCCCTGATACTTCTATCTCTGTTTTGTAGAGTAGGAATTTGATAGTAACTTTCCGACTTATGTGTTAATGTGGCAACTAAATCTGTTTCTTCACTCATGGTGCTCTGATATGCCATCAAATGACTTTTGATTGATTGGTAAATCGTATCTTTCTTTTAAACACTTATTTACAGCATATGTCGCCTCAATGGTACATACATATTTTTGACAACCATGAAGCTCAGATGATCCATAGAGCTTACATTGCTTTGTTTAATTGATTTATAATAGTAAATGGGCTCAAGGGATAGTTTTTTTTTGAACGAAAGTACAACTTTATCATTAACCAAACAACTGCAGCGTTATTTACAATCAGAAAGTTTATTTTATCTTACATAGAGAGAAGTTCTTAACATAAAATAATGCATTCTTGATCATAACCCCTGTAGAGTAAGATTTGCCATGAATCTTAGCATTGCGGAGCTTCCAGATATGGTAGACAGTTGCTGCCCAAGTAGCTATTTTGATCAGTAGCTTTCTTTTTGTTTTTGTGTAGTGTTGGAAATTTTGAATTTAGAGTATGAACGTTTTTGTAAGACTATGTAATTGAAAGACATGATAGATAGCATTTCAGTGTTTTGAATGTTCGATTACATTCCTACCTTGTGAAGACAGAACTAAATGATACAACCTTTCCTAATTGACACTGTCAGTTTTGGTGTTTTAAACACCTCTATTCAGTTTGTTGTTTTTATTTGTAATGTATAGTCAAACAATTTTACCATATGAAGGATTATTTTTAAGCTTGACTGAATATCTAGCAAAAATTTTCTAGGTGTACATGTTTTTTTCTGCTCAAGTATGTATACCTGCAGAAACATTGCAAGGACTTTGGACTATGGAGTATGTTTTACCAAAGGGAATTCTGTGTGCATTAGTATGAAATACGTAACAAATAGAAAGAGTGATTTATTTGCAGTTCTTATCACCTGCAATGGACCAGCAAGGCCTATAAACATTAAGGTTTCTTTGAGAATAATCCGTTTTTACTTTTGGCTTATGGAATGAGATGATTATTTTTATTTAAGTTCTGGGTATCTACGGAAGTCTAACAATTTTTTAGTCATATAAAGGTTGATGCTGATATTTCAGCAAAAAAACCACAGTCAAACTGTAAAGGTTTCCACCAAAGCTGTTGGGAATGTGTTGCAGTCACGGTCTGTTAAAATGGTTATGTCCGGAAGTGGGTGTGAAGACACGGTTAGAGTGGAAAGGGTAGTTCATATGGATCATACTTCTGCTGTAACGATCCTTTGTGTTTATTTTAAAATATTTCAATCCATTGCAGTATCACGATGTTCTCCATGCATGCCAAATAATGAGAACATGATGTCTTCCCTTTTCATTGACAGTTTTTGGGTGTACATTTTGGCCCTTCGTTCGACAGTTTCAAGAAAATCAATCAGAGAGAGTGAGAGGCCGAGAGTCAAAGAGAGCCGGTTTTTCACTCGCCAATGCCGACGTTAGCCTCCAGGTATTCACTCTCTCTTCCCAATTTTGTGATTTATTTCAATCTTTCATAGTTTCATCCCCTGACTTCAAAATCTAGGGTTATTTATTAATTAATAATTTGAAATCTTTGCTAATTGCTCTAGCTATTCACTCTCTCTTCCCAATTTCGTGATATCTTTCAATCTTTCACACTTTCATTCTTTGACTTTAAAATCTAGGTTTATTTATTAATCAATAATCTAAAATCTTTGCTAATTGCTATGAAATATGAATGAATTTATGGTTCCATATGTTCTTTATTTGATATGGACGAATTGATATGAATAGATTACGGATTGAATGAATTGCTATGAATTTGTGATATATATATATTTTTTTGGAAATTTAAAGTTTGTATTTGATTTTACTAAGTATTAGAATTTATGAATTTGGATTTGGTTTTAGAGATAATTCAATAGCTATGGGTCTTAAACATCTATCCGATAGTCACAAACGTAAAAAGAGAATTTGTTGTTAAATGCTAGTCTTGATCACAATGATACCAACACAATCCTAAGTCTTAATGTTCGTGTTGGTCTTTGTTTTTGATGCCATTGTGGCTTGTGCCACTCTTGTTTTTTGCCTTGAGATGTTCAATGAGGCTTCTTCATATCCTTGTTGGTTTGACACATATCAAAACCTGTCAAAAATCGAACATCACTTTATTACAACATTATCCTAAAGTGTGTTCCAACAACATGAATGATGAATACACACACACACACACATGTGTGTGTGTGTGTGTCTATATATATATATATATATATATATATATATATATATATATATATATACAATAACGACACCTAGAGAGAGGGGCACCTATGACTCTCAATCATTGGATCCACCTCTCTGGCACTAGGAGGGATGACTTTGGTGGTCGCTAGCAAGTAGCAACCCACGCAAGATTGAACTTCATAAGATTAAAAATAAATTGAACAAATTAGATTCTTAATCATAAGGGCCCTAGTGTTTTTCAAATCTTAAGGAAATGAGAAATGGAGCATTTGAGACATGACGAAAATTATATTATTGGACAATTTGAATGCTCATCACTAATTCTAAAGGAAGATTTAAGTTTCTTTGTAATATAAATATGAGCTCCCAAAATAATCATTTATGCAATTTGAAATTGAGTAAAATTAAATGAATTTTATATTTTTTTCATTTTTAAAATGAAAAATACATTTACGAACGAACTAAATTCAATTTTTAAAATTTTTACAAACCAATTTTTAAAACTTTTACAATGGCCGAGTCACCAAAATTTAAAGATTTGTATTTTTGGGAGGAAGACAATCAAGCAAATTTATCTAACATTTCGATCTAAAATTTGATCATGTAAATCCTGATTGTTGAAGTCGATAGAAGATGACTTTTATGATTTAAAACGTATAAAATCTGTATATATATGTTTGGGATAAGAAAATATGTGTAGTTTACGCTTGTCACTTGAAAAATCCATATTGAGTAGTATAATATGTGTATTATACATGCGAGTATGTAATGCGCATATTATACGCGAATAAGCTAATAGAACCAGCAACCTACGCAAGATTAAAGAAATACTTCATCCGTCCCCATTTTGATTACAACTTCATTTTCTGTTTCTTCTCGATGACTTTGGTTTATTTGTGTGTTTTCATTGATAATCTAATAAAATAAAATGTTATTCTCACATCTTGTTTTGTAGAACTTTTAATTTTTTTAACATGTAGTTTTTTTGTCCAATTAGAACGAATCAGGAACTTAAAACACTTTTAATGTAGTTTTTTAAGTGAAACGAATCAGGACTCTTAATCAAACGGGCCCTAGTGTTTTCTCAAATATTAAGGTATTGGTTCAATTAGGCCCTAGTGTTTTTCAAAATCTTAGGGGTTTTGTCGCTCAAAATGATGGTGTAGGGTATACACAGTGAACTGAGTGAAGACAAGGACACCCGACATTATCCTATTCGCTTACAATGGCGGTTCCTTCTACTCCTTTCACGCCTCAACTACCACCGTCCTTGTCAGATAACCTACTATCTATAAGATTTAAATACATCCCATTTCATTTAGATAAAGACAACCTCCCTTAGAAAGGTCTATTTTACTGCTCTTTAGTTTTTGACGACTGCAAACCCATTCTCTCATCCTGCTATCGTGCAATAGATAGTGGAACTGTTGGAGAGCTTAAAAATGTCGTGAGAATGAAAGTGTTATGCCAAATTCAAAGTCCACATTTTTTGGAGCATCTTTGTGAAATTGATAACAACAGTAGTTTTCATTTTACACCCAATATGGTTTATATGATCTTCATGGGGTATTTTAATCAATTGTTGTCTAAGGAGATTAATAGAAGTAAAGGATTTTATTGGGCACAATTCGCTATGCTCTCTGTTCAATTTGTGTGGAGCACCATTGCCAAAGAATTCGATGACTCATTCATGGCAGGTTATAACCACAAGGGATTAACTAAGGGCATAGCCATCCACTATGGAAGCAACAATCTCCCTATTGCAAAGTTGTTCAATTTCAGTCATAAGTTGATAAATACTGTTTTTTGTTGTTGTTAATTTGTTTATTACCTATGTTAATTTGTTATTAATTATTTTTTATTAATTCATTTGCTTAGTGGCTTGTCATTCAATGTATGATTTGGATTTTATCGGTGGGACCATGATGGACTCTAATAATATTAGGAGTCTGTCAGTATTAGGCATGGATGGTCCATGGAGTGTGAGTGAACCATATTATTCAAAACTCCATTTGTATCTCAATAGAGATTTTTGGCGGTTAGTATTTCTTAGAGTCTTAGAAAATTTCTTAGGTTGTTTTTTTACGCTGTGCTCTTTTTTTTACTATCAAACACTAAATTTCAACTTTTATCTCATTTTTAAGGTATAAGGGTGTACCATACAAATCATTTCCGAACTTCACCATGGAAGCTATCCTAAGAACAACAATTTTTTATCCCATTTTTTGGGATGTGGCTCAAAATGTGTTGTTCATTGGAAAGATTCATCAGATTTTCGGGAAATATCCCAATATAGAAGGAACAATCAAAAGGGGTAATCACGATACACTCAAGTGGATCGATCAATGTGGAAATGAAAGCCTTTCAAGAGGCATTTGATAGGGATCCGAATTCCCCATTTGGGTCCACATCGATGCTCGGTGCTTCATCCACACCCACATCGAGGCAAGTACTTCACGCGAAGACACCAGGTACTAGATACTAGAATGGAGTGTCGGTCAAATTTTAGGTTCTATCGTAACATGATGGAACATCCGCTCGATCTTCTTGTGGCATATGGCACAAAAACGGTGATAAATTTATCGTTCGGTTATATTCTTGTGGCATATTACCGACTGTTGTGTTGTATGGAGTATACTAATATTTTTGCAACTAATTTGTCATTGACAGGCTCTGGTTGAAATAGACGCTGAATTTCATTTTATGTTTTCGGACATAATTTCCTACATAAGAGATGGGTTAATCAATTCGATGGTGAAAACTGCACGTGGTTGTAAAACAATCGACCAAGCTGCTAATAAAGATAGGCATTTAGGCGTAATCTCTACAAGTAATTAGTGACCTTAATTGTATTTTTTTAATTCACATTCATTAATGATCTCATTTAACCACACAAACTTATATCTTTTTGTGCAGGTTTTGAATATTTATTGCCAATATATTCTTATGATTTTGACCTATGAGAATGTGTTAACATCTTTTTTTATGTTTGTCAACCTACTACTCTGTTTATTTTTGACAATTTTCATTTGTTATCAAAATGTTCTTTTACTCATTAAGTGCAAAAGTAGGGCTATTAAAGGGGTTGCAAATGTGTCCCATTGGTTTTGGCAAATGTGAGGATGATAATGGGAGCCTTCTCTATGCTTGTTTGGACAAACTATTTGTATGCATGCTTTTGTTTAGGAGTTGCACAAAACTTTTGGGAGTTTTCTGAAACTTATCTCTTTGCTAGTAATATTTGGGTATTATCAAATCATTGTTGATGTTTTATCGATGCTATTCAGAATTAATAATACCCAAATACTGATAACAGATAGATAAGTTTCAGAAAACTCCCAAAAGTTCTGTGCAACTCTTAAACAAAAACATACATACAAATAGTCTGTACAAACAAGCATAGAGAAGACTCCCATGATCATCCTCACATTTGACAAAAGTAGTGTGACACATTTGCAACCCCTCTAATAGCCCTGCTCCTGCACTCAATGAGTAAAACAACAATTTGATAATAAATGAAAACTGTCAGAAATCAATATAGTAAGTTGAAGAGCATAAAAAAAGATGTTAACACCTTTTCATAGGTCAAAATCATAAAGATACATTGGCAATATATATTCCAACTTGCACAAAAGGATATTAGTTTGTGTGGTTAAATGAGATCAAGCAATAATATTAATGAATGTAAATAGAAATAAATACAATTGAGATCACTAATTACATGTAGAGATTACGCTTGAAATGCCCATCTCTAACAACAACTTGGTTGATTGTTTTACACCTACGTGCAACTTTCACCGTCGAATTGATTAACATATCTCTTATGTATTAAATGGTGTCCGATAGAATGCAATTCAGTATCTATTTCAGCCAGAGCCTGTCAATGACAAATTAGTTGAAAAGATATTAGTATACTCCATACAATACAACAAATCAACAATCAATAATATGCCACAAGGATATAACCGAACGATAAAGTTATAACCATTTTTGTGCCATATGCGTTAGGATGAGGAATATTGCGCGGATATTCCATGATGCTACGATAGAATCTAAAATTTGATCGCACTCCATTTTGGTATCTAGCACTTGGTGTCTTCGCGTGAGGTACTTGCCTCGATGTGGGTGTGGATGAAGCGTCGATGTGGACCCAAATTCAGATCCCTATCAAATGCCTCTTGAAAGGCTCCCATTTGCACATCGATCCACTTAAGTGTACTGTGATTACCCCTTTTGATTGTTCCTTCTATATCGGGATATATCCCGAAAATTTGATGAATCCTTCCCATGAACAACACATTTTGACCCACATCTCAAAAAATGGGATAAAAAATTGTTGTTCTTAGGATAGGTTCCATGATGAAGTCCAGAAATGATTCGCATGGTACACCTTTATACCTTAAAAATAAAATAAAATTTGAAATTTAGTGTTTGTCAGTAAAAAAAGAGCACAACTTAACAAAACAACCTAAGAATTTTCCTACGACTCTAAGAAATTCCAATTGTGAAAAATCTTTGTTGAGATACAAATAGAGTTTTGAATTGTATGCTTCACTTACACTTTATGGACCCTCTATGCCTAATACCGATTTCACCAGACTCCTAAGATAATTAAGGTCCATCATGAAGCCACTGATAAAATCCAAATCAGACATGGAATGACAAGCTACTAAACAAATGAATGAATATAACATAATTAATAACAAATTAACATAGATAATAAACAAATTAAAAACAAAAACAGAATTTATTAACTTAAACTGAAGTTGAACAACTTTGCAATATGGAGATTGTTGCTTCCATAGTGGATGGCCATGTCCATAGTCAATCCCTTGTGGTTATAACATGCCATGAACAAGTCATCGATTCCTTTGGCAATGGTGCTCCCCACAATTTGAACATTGAACATAGTAAATTGTGTCCAATAAGATCCTTTACTTCTATCAAATGAACTCTTTAGAAACAGCTGATTAAAATACCACATGAGGGTCATATGAACCATCTTGGGGGTAAAATGAAAAATACTGTTGTTATTTTTGAATTTGGACTTTGAATTTGGCATAACACTCTCATTCTCACATCATTTTTAAGCTCTCCAGCAATTCTATTGTATGATAGCAGAATGTTGTAATGGATTTGGAGTCGTCAAAAATTAAAAAGCAGTGAAATAGACCTTTCTAGAAGGTTGTCTTTATCTAAGGAAAATATGATGTTTTTAAATCTTACAGATGGTGGGTTATCCGGCAAGGACGGTGGTGGTTGAGGAGTAGAAGGAGCCGCCATTGTGGGTGAATAGGATAATGTTGGGTGTCCTTGTCTTCACTCAGTTCACTGTGTATACCCTAAGCAAACATTTTGAGCTACAAAACCCCTTAGATTTCGGAAAACAGTAGGGCCCAACTAAACCAATATCGTAATATTTGAGAAAACACTGGGGCCCGTTTGATTAAGAGTCTTGATTCGTTCCACTTAATTTTAATCTTACACGTACTCCATCCATCCCTATTTTGTTTACAAAATGTGAATTAAGATGTAAAATCTTACGTTTTTTTAAAATCATTTTATTTAAAAATTGATGTATTAATTGGACATAAAAACTACATGTTAAAAAATTACATCTAACAGTTCTACAAAACAAGAGGTAAGATTAACATTTTGTTTTATTAGATTATCAATGAAAACATACAAATAAACCAAAGTTATCGAGAAGAAACATAAAATGATATTGTAATCAAAATGGGGACGAATGAAGTGTTTCTTTAATCTTGCATAGGTTGCTGGTTTTGTTAGCTTATTCGCGTTTCATATGTGCATTACATACTCGCACGTATAATACACATTAAATCATAAAAGTCCTCTTCTATCAACTTCAACAATCAAGATTTATATGATCAAATTTTAGATCGAATCAGTTTGCTTGATTGTCTTCCTCCCAAAAATACAAATCTTTAAATTTTTGTGACTCAGCCATTGTAAAAGTTTTGAAAATTGGTTTGTAGTTCAAGACATCCACCAATGTCATTTGTTAATTATAAAACCATTTACGGTCTACTAGTCTTTTCAACTCCATCCAATTCTGGAAAATACTCCCTCCGTCCCCCTAAGATGTTCTCATTTTGACTTTTGGTGATTTTTAAGGAGAGTTGAAAAAAGGTGAAAGTTTACCATAATATCCTTAATGAAAAATGGGTGGAGTGTATTAAATGAGGTGGGTGAGGTGTAATAAATAAAGTAAGTGGGGGTAGTTGTGGTATTTTAATTGTTAAAAAATGAAATGAGAAGATCTATTGTGGACATAGAAAAAGGGCTATTGAGAAGATCTATGAGGGACGGAGGGAGTAGTAAATAACATTCTCTCTATTTGTTTGGTTTTAAAATGTAATCAAATTTTCGAATTTAGTTTGTTCGTAAATGTATTTTTCATTTTAAAAAATATAAAATTCATTTGATTTTACTCAATTTTAAATTACATAGGGCCCCCACGTGTGTGTGACCTGGGGGCTACTGCAAACTTGCGCCGCCGCATAATAGCAGAGGTTCTTTCTTCTCCACTTCTTGTTGCTTGCTACATATCCTCTCCTGTGTTTCTTAACCTTCTGTTTGTGAGATGTTTTCATATTTAAGTCTTGACACCCGCTTATTTGTTGCCTTTGGATATGGCGGGGAACCGGAGGATGATTATGATCATAAGAATGGCTACCTTAATTGGGCAGAGGTTTATGGGTGAGAAACAAAAGGAATGGAAGTATGTGAAGGTGAAGTATGATTCCAGTAGATGTGCACTGCCCACTCATATCTTTGGGGATGTTATGGATGCAAATGGGGAGCTTATTTTATTTGGTCAGGGGGCGATATTGATGTGCCACTATATCAATCAATGTGATATGTGAATGCAACATCGTACTCATTCAAACTTGGGATGACATGATTCTTCATCATGCATTAATTGGTCATTGCTTATATGTTGATGGTGGTTTGCCAACACATGTTGATTGTCATGACCTCAAACTTTTTTTTACATTTTTTATGGTTTACTTCTACCGATGTAACAAACAATGAAAGATAGGCCCTAGGTGATGTTGTTTGATGAACAAACTAAAGATGCAATAGAGTACTTTAGAGATGAAATAACATTTAATATTCTATAATGCACTTAAGCTTACTTGAAGACTAGTGTTTACCCCGTGCTTCCCACGGGCTCGTAAGCACGGGCTCGTATATATTCTAATTTTTTGAGATTTTATAAATATAATTTTAGTTGTTTTAGTTTCTAATAGTGACAAAAAATGTTTTAGACTGATGGAACATATAGAGTATATTGGTATGTTAATTTAAAAAAACAATTTTACAAAATTAATAATCATTGAATTAAGTACTAAATAGAAATGGTTTAAATTAATAAAATATTATAATAAAAAGTGGATCAGTTACATGCATAATGATACATCATTAGAGAATATATATGTGTCATAATCATTTGTCAGTTGTCACCCTTTAAATTTATACAATCATTTTTCGAGAAGTAATAAACTAAAATAAGCTGTGGATAGTATAAAAATAATTTTATGTGTGTGTACTCAAAATACGAAGTTTATTTTACAATGGTGAAATATATATTCAGAATTATTAAAGAATGAAAAATTTTATACAAATGTATTAAAAGATATTTAAAATAGGTGCAATGCATATATCCACTTCATAAATGGGTGTACATGTGGATGCACATGTGGCATGCCACATGTCAACATTGCAACAACTAAACTCTCTTTTACATATATATATAGGATAGGATATATAGGATACTAAATACGCAGCATAGTTTTATAATATGATTGTGTTGAAGATGATTGGATTATTTATATTCATATGCGCAATATTTTACATATTAGAGACAATAAAAAGTAGATCAATGAAATGAACGTATAACTTTTTTGTTAGTTGTATTTTAATTATTGGTGATATTATTTGTTATCTAAATTTGTTTTTTACACTTTTTGGGTCGTTTTTCCAAGATGTAGTTCTCTATTAGTTTTTATAATGTAGTACTCTCCATCTCATTCCATTAATATATTTTAGATTAAATTATTGAGGTTTTCCTTATATAAATTTGGATTAAAAAAATATTTTATGTAACTATTTTATCCATAATTTTTTGTATATAGTTTAAAATATTGATGTTTTCTTATTTTATCTTGTAAATTAATTTACAAAAAATGGTATTATTCATAATAAAAAATTGAAGAAAAATAATAACCAATGTAAATCATAAAAATAGTAAGATAAAAAATAAATAACTAGCACAATAATCTTATGCGTCGTTTGTCGGAATTCTAGTCCACAATCATAGTTTTTATTTTTGTGTTATCCATCTAATCAATTTTAGAATACGTCACTTGACATAGATGTTAAATTATACTTTTAGTCTTTAAATTAATACTAACATGACAGAAGATAAAAAAGAATCATTTGTGAAAAAAATCCATAAAAGAATGACTATGAGAGTAATATTTGATAATAGAAAACTAAATAGGGAAACTTTTGTTATAAAACTACTTAAAATGATGGGTCTAGTCTATGAACGAGATGTTTATCCCCTATTAGACTGACCTTGATGTACGTATCTGAATAAGCTAAGTGAGGCAGAAACTTAAAAAAATTATTTAGAGATTACTGTATAAAAGAGGATGATGTGCGTCAAAGGGGAAAAACTAGAAACAAAGAATCATCGTCAGTACTGAAAAAGTAGGTAGAGGAGGGGAGCAAGATAAAAAGACAAAGTGAGCGGCCACTGCTGACAATGATTCTTTCACATCGCCCACTCAACAATCCATCCGCAGATCTTGCAGCTCGAAGAAGCTTCTCCTTTTTCCTCCTCCTCTTCTTCTTCTTCTTCCCAGAAGGAGATGAATTGGGTAGAAGAAAATAGCACAGGCGGATTAGCACAATGAGAGCTCCTGCTCTTCCGACCTTCTGTCATTTCTTGATTCTTTCTTTCGCTCTAGTCAATAATTCCTTCGCCGCCGGGGATTTGGCTTCTCGGAGGATTCTGCATCAGCCCCTGTTTCCGGTGACCTCAGAACAGCCGTCCGATACCGACACCTCTCCTCCTCCTCCGCCGCCGCCGCAGGAGCTACCTCCATCCGATCCCGTGATATCTAGCCCCGACGCACCTTTCTTTCCGGAGGTTCCCGGCGGGCAGTCACCAGATCAGAACCAACCGCCGCCGCCGGGTCAGACAAATGCGGCGTCGAAGCCAGTCAAGAAAGTGGCGATTGCGTTGTCGGTCGGGACGGTGACCTTGGGAATGTTGGCGGCGACGGGATTTTACATCTGCAAGCACTGCGGGAAACATATGGGCGAATCTCAAAAGCTTGTCGGCGGCGGCGGGAATCCTTCCCGCAGGGGAACGGAGGAGTCAAGAAACCCGCCTTCATCGTTTCTCTACATCGGAACAGTTGACCCGTCAGCTCGAAATTCCGCAGCGAGTGAGTCCAACGGGTCGCCTTATCGGAAACTAAGATCCGAGCGGTATAGGCCGAGTCCGGACCTCCAACCAATCCCGCAGCTGAGCAAGCCGCAGCCGCCTCCCGACATACCATCTCCGCCGGCAATGACATCGTCCGACGACGAGGGCCGCAACACCGCCTTTCACACGCCGCACGGTTCCAACAACAGCAACGAAGACGGCGGCTATTACACTCCGATTGCGCGGCGGAACCAAGCTAAAGCCAATAATCATGTCCCCTACTCAAAGAGAAGTTCCCCAAAATCGCGCCTCTCCGCTTCTTCGTCGGATATGAAGCCTGCAATTACACCTCCGTCCGTCAAGCAATCTCCCGGTTCTCCGCAGCCGCTACCGCAGGAGCCTCCCGATAGACCGGAGATGCCGTACATTCCTAAAAGAGCGAAGTTCTCCAAGCCGCCTCCTCCGCCGGACATGTCTAGGCTTCAACTAATAAGCGGACAACAACCACCACCGCAAACACCTAAAGGCCAAGTTTCCCGACCACCTCCTCCGCCCACAGATATGTCCAGGCTTCCACTGAAAACATTGAAACCCGAAATTCCCAGACCTCCTCCCCCTCCGCCGCCACCTCCTCCCCCGCCACCACCGCCGGCGCGGAAATTAGGGACACCCCAGAAGAATGCCCAGCCTGGAACGGGAAACCAAGAATCAAGTAGTCCAAGCTTCAAAACGCCACAAGAGAGTGAGAAGAGCAGCCCTTCAAAAGGTCCCAGCTCACAGGAGAGGTCTGATTCAGATGAATCAAAGCCCAAGTTGAAACCTCTGCATTGGGACAAAGTACGTGCATCCTCGGACAGGGATACAGTGTGGGACCACCTGAGATCCAGCTCCTTCCAGTAAGTTCTTCTACTACCTTAAACATTTCTGCAAATGGGCTTGTGGGTCTGTTTGACTTACTAAAAATGGTAAAGAAAATTAAGTGTGTTCCTTACAGATTGAATGAGGACATGATGGAGTCACTCTTCGGGTTTGAATCCGCAAATCCGGCTCCAACCGAAACCGCCAAGAAACTCAAACAAGCAAAACCACCCGTGGAGCAGGAGAACAGAGTTCTTGATCCCAAGAAATCACAGAACATAGCAATTCTCTTGAGAGCATTGAATGTAACAAAGGAGGAGGTTACCGAAGCTCTTCTAGATGGTCTGCTGCTCTCTGATTACAAGCATTGGTTTTTTCAAGATTTTGGGTTTCAAATAATTTCTCATAGTTTCTCTGCTCTGTTTTGTTTGGGGTACAGGAAATCCAGAAGGGTTAGGTCCGGAGCTTTTGGAGACTTTGGTGAAGATGGCTCCAACAAAGGAGGAAGAAATAAAGCTGAGAAGCCTCAACGATGACACCTCAAAATCAGGATCTGCAGAACGGTTCCTCAAAGCCGTTCTCAGTGTACCCTTCGCCTTCAAAAGAGTGGAAGCCATGTTGTACAGAGCAAATTTTGATTCAGAAGTGAACTACTTAAGGAAGTCCTTTCAGACTCTTGAGGTAACACCACTTTTTTCACAAAAAACAGCAGAATCCACATTTTCATGTGTTTATATTTACTTGAAGTGTGAGATTTATCTTTTGGTTTTCATCAGGAAGCAAGTGGGGAGTTGAAGAACAGCCGGTTATTCCTGAAAATATTGCAAGCCGTGTTGAGAACAGGGAACCGAATGAACAATGGCACTAATCGTGGTGATGCGAAGGCTTTCAAACTCGACACTCTTCTAAAACTTGTAGATGTGAAAGGGACAGATGGGAAGACGACGTTGCTCCATTTCGTGGTCCAAGAGATAATCAGGTCTGAAAAGGTTGATTCCAATCAAGTTATTGCAGGTTTGAGCAGGGAGCTTGGGAGTGTCAAGAAAGCAGCAGGAATGGACTGTGATGTCCTCCATAGCTATGTCTCCAAGCTTGAAACCGGGCTGAGGAAGGTTCGTTTGGTATTGGAGTGTGAGAAACCGGGTATGCAAGGCAAGTTTTTTCAGTCAATGAGATCGTTTCAGAAAGAGGCAGAGGACGACATAAGTAGGATTAATGGGGAAGAGAGGAAGGCGTTGTCCATCGTGAAGGAGGTCACAGAGTATTTCCATGGAGATGCTTCAAAAGAGGGAGCACATCCCTTCAGAATTTTCATGGTAGTAAGAGATTTTCTGTCCATATTGGATAATGTGTGTAAAGATGTTGGGAAGATGCAGGAAGCAACAGCTGCTGGTTCATCAAAATCATTCAAAATACCAGCAAATGCTTCTTTGCCTGTTTTGAGCAGATTTAACGCCAGACATGATAGGACCTCAAGTTTTGATAGCACCTCGCCGTGATTCATACCACATTTTTTTTCTGTGCAATAAAATGTTTAGGGTCTTTATGGGATAGAAATTTGAACACCTGCAAATATTCATTGTCTGTTGTATACATAGCATGAAAAGAAAACAATAGACAACCTCAATGCCGCGTGGATCATCAATGATTCGCTGTCCGAATTTGATGGGGTTATTTTTTTGTTCTTGCAACTTTAATCTCAATTCTTTCTTTTATCTTCAGTTGGGAGACATCTAAAAAGTAGAAAGATTTCACTTTTATTCTGAGACATCACTCTCTTAATCAAAATTATAAAGAGTGATGATGCCAGTAGTACATAATGAATATATGAATGAAGCTTTACATTAGCAGTAGTACACAGCAGAAGTGGGAATTGAAGAGCAGAGCCTGAGGAGAATTCAAGCTGATTCCAATGAGAAAAATGGGGCTCCATAGATGCTCTTGGATCTCACTATCTTTCTCACTAATATCCTCCATTTAATATCATCCTTCTTCACCTGTTTCCTCCTCATCCTGAAGTTCTTGCAGAGAGGAACTCTGCAGCTGTCTGGATCGGCGCAGAGCCTGGAGTGAAGTTCAAAGACTTGCCACATTCTCTTGCACCGTACGCAACCTCCCGGAATCCGGGTTTTGCACCCTGCAAAGTGGCGAATCAGCGCCTCTATCCCCTTGCACGCCCCGTGTCTGCATGGATCTTCATCTCCTTTCAGCACCTTATCGTATGGACCAATGGTACGGCAACCCTCCTTGCATATGTGAACAAGTGCTTCCATGGCTTCATACAAACTCATATATGTTTTCCTCTCATTCATCTTTCTAACCCTTTCCTTTTGCATCTGAAACCAGTTGCATGAACAAAACATTAATTCCTTCTGCTTTTCAAGAGTTTCTATTCTATGCAACCATAAGAATCATTAAGCAAAAACAATTAATTCACAGACAAGCTGTTTGTTATGCTTACAATGTCATGATATATGACAGACCCCAAGATCTCTTTCTCAAGAGCAGGATGGCTTTCCTTCATCGCCCTCCATCCTTGTGTAGCACAAACCGGTTTGAGGTTTTTCAAGATAAACCGGTGGCTGATAAAACTAAGCCGAGGGGCATCACACAGTAGAGCAGTCTGGAAAACATCCATGGCATTTTCGGTATTTATCAACCCGTCTTCTATCACCCACTCACATTCCCTCTTGAGCTGAGGAACCACATACGAATGTGCCAAAACTAACAAACTCAACGCGTGTTCCTTCATTTTCGATTCTTCATAACTACAAAGGAATCACGTTGTCAAGAAAAGGCCCTTTTTCACCATCATCATGTGGTGTAACTTGAGCAATAAAAGGTTGGTTCAGATTCAAATGGCATTTGTGTATACATTACCAGGATGAATACAGGTATCTAACAAAGACATGAACAGCCTCCGCCGGAACGCCCAGGATTGAGATTGATAGATGTCTCTGTTGCCTTTGTCTAGTTGATTTTCTTAACATTGCTTTGATTACTGGTGAAGCCACACCCTATAGGCAGGATTCGAAATAACAGTGATCAATAGCATTCTCTACTTGGAACCTTAAGGCAGTTTTTGGTAAGACTTATTTGGCTGAATCTAAGAAAAGTGTTTGGCAATATCTATAAAACAGACTACATATAAAGTTAATGTAAAAAAAGTGTCAAATTAGTGTTTTTTTCCCTCAAAGTGCCAAATTAGAACTTACCAAGATGCTAGCATGAGCATAGATGACATAGCCACCTCTCGCATTGATCTTCACATCAGCTCGATAAGCTTCATCGAAGAGGCGATCTGCAGAGGAAAAGCAGTGGCCATGCCCTCTCATCTGTGATCTGCGTGCCATTGAATGGTTGGGACCATGAAGAGGAGGAGGCAATGAAGGCGGGGCAGGCAGATATTTCTCAAGGGTCATCGTTCTGATCCTCCTCCGCCTCAGCCCCCACTCAGCTCTCTGCATTTATTCATTCATTTGAAAAGCACCCAAATCAAGAAATGATAAAACACCACACAGATCGAGAAAATATCCATGAATCAAACCTCATGCGACATGATCTCTTGAAAAAGAATGAAAATTTAAAAGAACCCATGTTTCCTTATGACTCCATTCCTCAATTACCTCTAATGAATAGGGAGTATTTACGAGTATGGATGTGTTGCAGAACAGAAACAATCAGACAGAGCCCAGATTCTTCTTGTTCTTTGTTCTTCTTCTTTCTTCTTCTACTCGCAATGTACATGAATATGCATAACCCAATCTGGAGAGGACGCCCAAATGTTACAATACTGTGACAATACGGCCGCAAAGATCAACCCTTTTCTTGCAATAATAATTGTAACAATGGGATGATTGGATTTGAGAGGGAGTGGGGAGGAGGACAGGGACGAACGATGCAGGTATTATGAATGGATCTTGTGTGAGTATATAAAGAGATCAGGCAAGGGATGGGTGACAGGGAGGGGCAGAAGGTTCATCGAAATGAATCAATGAATTAATTAAGGAAATGGCCACCAACTTGTTTAGGATTAAGGATTTAGATTTGATATGGATCTGTGTCAGCTCCGATAAACCCAAGACGGAACCACTAATTAGTATTGGGAATGACGATGATTGCCAAACTTGTGGAAAACGTGGCGTCTTAGTCCACGCACATCTGTTTCTTCTTCATTCGTACTGCCTCCCTGGATATGAGCAAGAGGACATGGACCAAAAAAATTGATCGGACTGGTAGAGGACCCGGAGGTCCTTTGTTAGGGTCCATATGTACATTACATGAACGGTTAGAATGAGCCGGCAAGATAAACGTTCCCGAAATAAAATCCCCCTATTTACAACAGCAGCAGGAAATTTATCCCGCCTAAAAGTTTGGGCCGGATACTGTAACAGTGGGCCGAACATTTTCTAAAGCAAATCTAATTATTGGGCTGCGTTATTCTTTGTTGAAATATACTTAATATTTCCAGTTTAAAATTTTAGTACGATTCTTTCAGTTTCAAACATGAAATACAAAATAGTAAACAATCACTTCTCAAACATCACGCCATTTTTTATGCTTTTACAACTAATATTATTAAAATCCATTTTAAAATCAAATCCATAAATTGAAAGCAAATTAACATACAACCATTATTACAAAAACTGTGGTAATGATATTAAAAGAATATTTTAAAAATGTTTTATTAATTTTATTATGGGCAGTTTCCAGAGATAAAGTAAAAAAGATAAAAAAAAAAACTCCCCACTCCGTGCTGAAAAAAAATTGGAAACTCAATTATATTTTTCATACAAAAAGAAAAAGAAATAAAAACAATTAAATAACAACTGCTGTACGTGGTTTCACACTTCCCCACTTCCCATAAAACCTGGGCAGCAACCACCACTCCTGCACCACCTCTCCTCCAGACCTGCAGTATAAATTGGGCAATTCCATATGCTTCCACACAATTATCACAACAATCAACTCCCAGCCTGCAAAGGAAGAACACAGAAAAATGTCAAGTGCATCAAGCGGAAGTGGTGGCCTCTGGTCATGTTTGAAAGCTTTGGATGACACCAAACAAGATTGGGCCATTTGCGNTCACCAATTTCATGCACAAAAACCTTCCTACATATTTCAAATTAGGTTTTAAGATTTCACAATACAAAGAGGAGATAAAATAGAGTTAAAAATATACAAAGAATGTTTACCTTTTCTGTTCCTGATTTTTACACAGATAGCATATAATTACACAGATACGATCCCAGAAGTACCTGACATTAAAAACAACAAGTTAGGTTTTAGGGTATGGACTAAAAATTAAGAAACCTGTAATAAAAGATTAGGGGTTTTGACTTATCTAGCTACTTTGGACCGAAAGTCAAACAGCATTCCCTGCATTAAATATGAATATGAAACATTCAAATCAAAAAAATAGTTTTGGTTCATATATTTTATATTTTATGGAATATTAATTAGAAAAGTTAAAGCTAAATAAATTTGTACCTTGCGGAATGCTTCCACAGTAAGAGGACCTACAATAGTAAAGTTGTTTCCTAAATAAAATTATGTCGTATAAGAAATGAAATGTATATTAACTGTATTAAATATAGATTTAAAGGTCTATACCTTCGTTTTTATACCCTGATCATATGGCTTTGGTAAAATAGAAGGATTCAAATCACATTCCGAAAAAAAAACTATTTTTGGACATATTTTAAAATTATTTTTGGACATGTTTTTGCGGATGTGAACAAATTTGTAGATCTCGGAGAGAAATTCAAATATAATAAAAGTAATTTGAAACCCTCTAGATCTGCACTAGATTGAATACTTCACCCGAAATACAGCTCTTTTGACTTTTATTAAATAAAAGGATTAATCGAATGCATGATCTCAAAATAAAAAAAATATGTTGTAGCATTTATGAAAAACCTTTGTAGATCTCAGACGGAAATTCAAATATAATAAAAAATATTAAGAACCGGAAAATCAAATCATTTGACTCTGATTAAATAGAAGGATTAATTATATGCATGTGTTCAAAAATGACATTGATTTATTGCATGTTAAAGAAATGGTAAATCTAAGGTCAGACCTTTAAATAAAGGGTCAAATACATTTATAAACCCATCGGCCAGGATAATATATCTTAGATCAACAAAAAACACCAAAAAAATGTAATACTCTCGAGCCATCGTCATCACAGAAAAATTAATCTGTTAGATCTTGAATAAAAATCGAAGATCTTGAGACTCGACGAAAAAAACACCGAAAACGCACATAACCCCATCGGAATGTACATAAAGCTCATACAAACCCATCGTAGATCTGTTAACCAAGAAGTTTCATTAAACA